GTTGTAGGTCTTTGGATTTCATGACTTGGAATACTTCTTTCCAGCCCCTTCTTGTCTGTAAGGTCTCTTTTGAGAAATCTGCTGACAGTCTGATGGGGACTCCTTTGTAGGTGACTGTCCCCTTAGCTCTTGCTGCTTCTAGGATTCTCTCCTTCATTTTAATCTTGGCTAATGTAATGATGATGTGCCTTGGTGTGTTTCTTCTTGGGTCCAACTTCTTTGGGACTCTCTGAGCTTCCTGGATTTCCTGGAAGTCTGTTTCCTTTGCCAGATTGGGGAAATTCTCCTTTATTATTTGTTCAAATAAGTTTTCCACTGGTGGCTGTTCCTTTCCCCCTTCTGGTACCCCTATAATTCGGATGTTGGAGCCTTTAAAGATGTCCTGGAGGTTCCTAAGACTCTCCTCATTTTTTTGAATTCTTGCTTCTTCACTCTTTTCTGTTTGGCCATTATTTGCTTTCTTCTGGTCCACTCCATTGATCTGAGTCCCAGTTTCCTTTTCATCGCTATTGGTTTCCTGTGCAATTCCATTCATTTCAATTAGTTTCGTCTTCATATGTTTCTCTAATTTGTGGCTATAATCAACCAGTTCTGTGAGGATCCTGATCACCAGTGTTTTAAACTGTGCGTCTGAGAGTTTTGCTATTTCTTCATCTCTTAGATTTATAGGCTCTGGGGCTTTGAGATCTTCTTGAGCCATTTTTGGTCTGTTCACACCCGTTAAGTAGGAGGAGTGGAGCCCTGGACTCCCAGGTCACTGGGTTTTGACGCTGTATGTGGGGGCGTGGTCAGAGTGGGGAAATGGTGACCCCCTCTGCTGTTTTGCTGTTTTGGCTGCTGGGTGAGGAGCAGAGCTTTAGGTGGTTCACCAGGGCCGGGCCACTCAGTTGCTGGGTTGTGAGGCTGTATGTGGAGGCAGGGTCAGAGTGGGGAAATGGCGGTGCCCTCTGCTGCCTCTCGCCGCGGGGACCCGCTGGGTCCCGGTCCAATCGCCCATTCCCTGGCTTGTCTATCCACGCACGAATGAATGTGCAACCACAGTCAACTCGCAGCCCTGCTCCCTAGCTATTTCCCCACAGTCGCTCGCTGGGTCTCTCACTAGGTCCACCCTTTGCAACCCTGCGCCTGGATTCTGCCCGCCTGAGTCTGTCTGACCGAGTTTTCCTGTGCTACCCCACTCCGCCAGCTGCTGGTTTCGCCCCTCTTACCGGTCAGGCTGAAGAATTTGTTGTTAACAGACTTCCGAAAAGTTCAATTTTCTGTGTTCTGACTATGTTTTCTGTTGCTAATATTTAATTGTCTCTAAACTTGGTTGTGTGAGAAGGCATGGCATATCCACCTATGCCTCCATCTTGGCAGAAGTCCTCAAGTTGGTTTTAGAGGACATTATTAATTCAGTTTTAGATATGTCTAGTTACAGGTGAAGATGAGACATCTAAGTGTAATAATGGGTCTAGAGATTAGTAAGGTAAACAAAACCAATATAATAAAAAATACATACATACTTTAGTTCCATATCATTATGGTAGCTATTCCTGTGCTAATAAGATCTGGGCTGAATGAGGGACAGGAAGAAACGGTGAGAATGAAGAAGAGAGAGAGAAAGAGATTAGATATAGTAAAAACATAAACAATAGCAGATGGAAAAGAAGGCAGAGACAGGAAGAAGGGAGAAAATGGCTAGAGAGTGAAATAGTTAGGGTGGCATGTGTTAAATGGTTTTTGACTTACCACTTGCTCACTTGTAATATGGGCTCCTGATGTTACCATTCTTTGAAATTCTCTTTAGCTAATTTAAATTCTCCAGCTACTTTTTAATCTCCAAATAGTTACTGTTCTCAAAAATGGAATGTCAAGGCAAGGGTGACAATCTCTTTTTGAGCTCTAGCTTCAGAGGTTCGTGTAAAATGACTTCACTGAATGGATTAAATTATGCTGATGATCAGCATCCTCTTGCCAGTCAGATGAAAAGATCACCCAAATCCTCTTTCTCTTATTCTAATAATCCTGAAACTTCAGAGTACTAACATGATCCTCCCTTTAGAGTGCAAACACTTCTTTTTAAAAAACAATTATTTTAATTGTTGTTCAAGTACAATTTTCTGTCTTTTACTTCCATCCCAGCCCACCCCCCAGCCCTCCCTCCCATTTCCACCCCCCTTAGTTGTTGTCCATGTGTCCTTTATACTTGTTCCTGAAAACCCTTCCCCTTTTACCCTGAAATTCCCTCCCCTCTCCCTTCTGGAGAATGTCAGCTTGTTCTCTATTTCTGTGTCTTTAGTTATATTTTGCTTGTTTGTTTGTTTTGTTATTTAGGCTCCTGTTAAAGGTGAGATCATATGGTATTTGTCAAACACTTCTCATAGCTGGCTCAGTTTCAACTTTACCTAATGCTACTAAACTAGAAGCAACTTATTTCAGATACCCTCAGCCAAACAATACAAAGAAAAAACCCTCTACCAAGTGGAAGTTCGTCATTTCTTCAAACATCTACTACTTTCAGAATCCCTGTGACTTATATTTGTATTCTTGCTTAAACCAACATTATTTTATTTATTTATTTATTTATTTATTTATTTATTTATTTATTTATTTTTAAATCCTGGATAAAAATTCCTATCTCTGCATAACTTTTGGGGATATGTTGAATCACATGAAGCAGGAAACTTAAGAAGTACAATCATATAATTGGCACTTAATATATAAAAATTAATACTTCACTGGTTCATATATTAGACTAGTTTCTCTTGAGATAGGTATACTCTTGCCAGTTTCTATCTCTAGCACTGGAAATAGAGGAGTTAAGTGAAGTCCCCCTCAAAGTCCTTACATTCTAATGGGAGACAAAGATACATGGAGAGATAATTAGAAATGCAGGTTAAGGAAGCACAGAAGACATGTCTGATGCAAGTGAAAAGGCTTCCAAGGAAGTAGCATGTTAAAAAATGAGTAGAAGTTTGCCAAGAGGGACATGGAGGTGTTCCAGGCAACATGGCAACATGAACAAGGACAGAGAGATAAGAAATAGCATAATGATTTCTGGGAACCATAAAAAGTTTGTAGGTTCTAACCTATGTAAATCATGGCAGGAAGTAGCAGAGGATAAGCTTGGAGAAGGTAGGCAGGAACAAGGTGGTAAAGAGCTATCAAGCTTAAATTTTGTCTTTAGAAAATATAAAAACAATTAAGAATTTTTAAGAACGGAGGGTAATGACATGGAAAGATGTGCACTTTAGGTGAAAAATTCTAGTGGTTAAATTGAGGGCAGATTTGTAGAGACAAAACTGATGGCAGAGAGAGTAGTTAGAAGGTTGTGGCAATACTGTAGAACAATGCTTCTTAAAATTTATTGAGTACAAATCACCTAGAAAGTCTTGCTTAAAAATGCATATTTTGATTCAGTAGGTCTGCAGTGAGGCCTGAAATACTTTTTTCTAATAAGCTATCAAATGATGCCAATGATGTCAGCCACAAATCATACTTTGAGTAGTAAGGCTCTAGGAAAGATGTTGAGGGCCTGAACTAGTGTGAGAAGAGTAGGCTGGAGATAAGGTAAAAGTAATATTTTGGAGATAAAACAGTCATAGCTTGGTGCTTCATTAGATACAGAAAGTGAAGAAGGTGATTTTGGAGAATTCATGGTTAACTGCAGGCTTCTACTTTGATTTACTATGTGGATTTCAAATAGCTATGAGGTATCCAGGGGAAGTAACAGCTGCCATTTGGATAGATATATGAGTCTGAAGCTAGACAGAAATGTCATAAGCATACACATGAGAAGTGAAATCAGGGAGTATATTAGATCACATTTGTATAGTAAGATCAAGAATGGAACCATGGGACTATCTATATTTAGGTAATTACCATATTTTTCAGACTATAAGCCCCCCCATTTGGGAGGAATAATGGTTGTTAATGCTGCTGTTGAGTTCTGTTTACATTTACATTGGTGAAACATTATGTTATTTATATTATTAAATATTTTACCACATTTTTTGCTTCAAAATTTTTCCCCTATTTTTCTCCTTTAAAACATAGGTGCATCTTATGGTCTGAAATATGCGGTAATTTTAAAATGAGCCCTCAAAGAGAAAAGATAAGACATAGAATCACAGGAGAAGAACCAGAGCATAAGGAGTTACATATGACAAAGAATAGAGCTTCAAGAAGAAGGAAGTAATGAACATTTTCACATGAAGCAGAAAAAAGTCTAGTAAGGAAAGAATTAAAAAATAACAGTGAGTGAAGGGACAGAAGTAGCTGAAAGAAAGGATATGAAAAGGGAATAAAATACACTAGTAGTGAGAAGGTACCTGTGGGGGAAAATGAAAAAAATATATGGTTAGAAGAGCAAGTAGATTACTTGGATTAGGATTAGAATCTTTATTGTGCCTAGATTCTTGTCACTCTATCTTAGCAACTTTGTTCATCCTCTCCTTCACACTCTTACCAATCTAAATCATATATTTCCTCTAAGAAAAATTGTTGAACCATGATGTTTTATTCCTCTGGTTACCAAAAAATATATACACAGAAATCCATGTCTGTAGCCACTTGCAATGAAGTATTAATAATCCAAGTAGTTTATACATTTGCTCTGGGGAAATGGTATATCCATTCTCATTTGTATTCCCAAGAATGACTACACTATCACCCAAGAAACACTTAACCCATACTTAGTGAATGAATGGTATAAGCACCCAATACTAATTTAAAACATTTCATTATGCATATATGATATAACAAGGAGCCATGGAAATACCTATATTTGATTCTGTAATTAATAAGGGTGATCTAAAATTTTTTGGTTCTCATGCTCTAAAAAACTGTACACAGAACTAATAAGTCCTTACTCAAAGTCTTTACTTACCTAAAATTCTATGATACCATGAGTAGTAACAATATCCTACTCAATAAGAGTAAAATTGTAGTTATATAAGCCAGTATGTTTTAAAATATAAACTTCCTATGAAAGAGTTTTGTGATATTTTACTGTTTACCATTTGCATCTGATTTTGCTAGAAGAGGTTTCTCTCTTATCTTGTCTACAAACTTCTTTTTAGCTTCATTTCTTTTGTGTTTTTTTCCAACATAATGTTGTTGGGCCATTAATGGACTATTAAAGGAAGCAGGGCAGAGCTTGCAATACTTGTTTGGATTATTCAAATCCAAAGCAGTGTTGGAAGAGGAAGGCATAGTCTTGTCTTTAATCCCACCTGGAGGAGGCTTGACTGCAAGGGGCTTCAGAAAAGTTGACTCTGCAGAAGTAGTAATAGGCACACCTGCTGAAATAGTCATAATGAGAAGTGATCAACATGTGTTCAGCTATTAGAGCTATGCTTATTATAAAGTATTAGGGAAATTTAGAATTCTTTTAAAACCTACTATCTTTGGACTTTTTTCACACAGCTGTAAGATAAAGGAACTCAGGTTGAAAAGAACTGCCTTCTGTGAAAAAGGAAATTTGAACACAAATCTGTCGCCAAGTTTCTCCAACAAAGATACAGGAAGGAATGTTTGGCATCAGGAATTCACTAATTATATTAATTGGAAAAATCAATCAAAGCATGAGAGCTATCTTAGATGGCTCTTTAAATTACTAAGAGTAAAACAGATGGTACCAAATACTAAGTTGCTCTACTCAAGTAGAGTAAGTCATCTGTGTAGTACAGATGTATTGTCTGTATCAAAATAAAATGTATGCACTTGTTTAAGCCTATGAAATTATATGATTTCACAATTATAGTTATTTCAGAGCTCCTTCATTAAGTCTCCTCTCTGAGCCCAAACCGATGTATTTGGGTGGCTGAAGATAAGGCTTTTACAAGATACGTTCTTTTGTAGGGCACACTGATTCTGATAGGCAGAAAAACAAAAATATAAAAATTAGAGAGACTTGAATAAATTTTACAATAAAACTGGTTTCATTTATTAAGACAATATATTTTAATGCTGGATGAGGCCTATGCTATCAGTTGGAAATTAATGTCGGTGAAATTTCCATGCCAGGCATGCTATATTCCTTAATTGCTGAAGCTAGTAAAAAATGTGGTAAATTATTTATTCCAGAGATGAATTATCTTATTTTTGTGCTAGCATACAAATTTTTCAAAGTACACATTAGGTTTTCCATGTTATACTGTGCCACCTCAGGCCAGAAGTGAGATATTTGGGTCAAATATCTCATGTACTTGTGGTCCAACATCACTGGAAGTAGGAAAGAGGCAATGCTTTATAGTTCACTGTATCTTTAGGATCTAGTGTAAAAATAAGTTTTCAATAACTACTGACTGATAATGCTGCCATACTTTTTCTTTTTTTTATAATGAGTTTTAAAAGATTTTATTTATTTATTTTTAGAGGGGAAGGGAGGGAGAAAGAGAGGGAAAGAAACATCAAAGTGTGCTTGCCTCTCATGAGCCCCCCCATGGGTGACCTGGCCCACAACCCAGGCATGGGCCCTGGTGGAATCAAACCAGTGACCCTTTGGTTCACAGGCCTGTGCTCAATCCACTGAGCTACACCAGTCAGAGACATACTTTTTCTTTATATTCATAGGAGAGAGAAATGAGCAGCAAGAGTAAAAGAAGATTCCATAACTTACTTATTTTTTGCCTACATTTAAAGCCAGGAAATGCAGCATCATAACTATATTCTGGGGTCTGAATCCACATACAAGATAATGCTCTGGAAAGTACTAAAGCAAATCAAGAATGAAATAAATGCTAAGGGGAAGAAGTAAGGAGCTATCGTTTGATTAGAAACCAAAGAGCTCAGGCTGGTTATTGTTTATTCTTTATAGCAACATAGAGAATCACTTGTTTTTATTTGGATTTAATAAGTTGAAAAGAAGAAGTCAAAACATTTCTTAAAATTCAGCTAACAATTATAATCTCCATAATAAATGAAAAGAATACAGAAAGATTAACTGGGCAGAAAAAGAGGAATCAATATAAATCAATAGACTTTCTCTGAGTTTAAATCTCTCTGAGAAAAAAATGGATGATAGAGTTGGGGAAAATGATAGAGAAACTCTATATTGAAGCTAAAGAAGTACATAATCTTACCCATATCTGGCCGAAATCCTGATGGAGATACCTGATCATGTTCCTCCATTAACTGCTTCAATTTTTTAGCATGGACTTTCCCCACATAGTGAGACTGAGCAACAATTGGAGAACTAAAAATCATATTGCAAAGATCACAAAATTTGTTTCTGTCCACTACTTCACTCCTATGCACCTGAAATAAGGACAATCTTATTAGAAAGATACAGTAACTCACAATTTAGAATTATAACATCAACATAGGACACTCACCTGAAAATTTCTAACATCCATCTTCATTTTTTTACTAGGCATTTCATTTTGTTCTCCATACATTTGAAAATAAAACCTAACATTTTGAGCATGTTTTTCACTCTGAAAAAAGATATGATATGACTGTTTATTCAATAACATAGGAACCTCAAATTTATACCTCTTTGAATTTGAGGGCATTACTGAGTTGTAATATATTTGGTGCATACCAAGTTTATGAAAGAGCTATACATGCTTTCAAATCTCTAAATCTCAGTGAAAGTGAAAATAATGCTATAATTTAGAGGCCAGTAACATTTAGGATCTAATTTTTGACAGGGACTCCTAGTTGTTGTCGAATATCAAATTTTCTTCCTCTTCCACAGTTATATATCTTAGTCAATATAACCAGTTGCAAAACTGCACGCTCCAGCCTCCCTTTCAGCAACATAGAACCATGTAACTAGATTCTGGCCAGTAAGTTGTAAGTTTTGGGTATAACTTCTTGGAAATTTCCTTAACAGGGTGGGGTATGAGCCCTTTTTCTACTCTTTCCTCCTACTTCTGGAACTGAGATATAAAAGACAAGAGTTCCAACAGTCATCTGGGTCTATGGGGGATCTTAAGGACAGAAACTAATTTTGTTGAAGATTTTATTTATTTATCTTTAGAGGGGAAGGGAAGGAGAGAGGTAGAGAAATATCAATGTATGGTTGCCTCTCATGCATCCCCTGCTGGGAACTGGCCTGCAACCCAGGCATGTGCCCTGACTGGGAATCGAACCATGGTTGTTTGGTTTGCAGGCCTGCACTCAATCCACTGAGCTACACCAGCCAGGGCAGAAACTAATTTATAGGAGCAGAAATATAGAAAATGCCTGGATCCCTAATAATGCCAATGAGTTGTAGTATCACCCCTGTACTACCTATCTCTTAAATTCTCTTTTTGTAAGTAAATTAATCGTTCAAGGTTAAGCACGTTGGAAAAGTCTCTGAATAAACATATAACAAAATACATAAGAATCATAAAAATGTTTTTGTAGGTAGAAGGGAAACTAACATTCCTGAGCACCTAGTATGAGTCAATCACTCTCTCTCTCTCTACAGAATTTTATTTTTTATTTTATTTTTATTTTTTATTCAACTGCTGTTTATTTTAACAATTTCTTTTTAAAATATTTTATTTATTTATCTTTAGAGGGGAAGGGAAGGAGTGAGGGAGAGAAATATCAATGTAGGGTTGTCTCTTGTGTGTCCCCTGCTGGGAACTGGCCTGCAACCCAGGTATGTGCCCTGACTAGGAATTGAACCATGATATTTTGGTTTGCAGGCCCGTGCTCAATCCACTGAGCTACACCAGCCAGGGATTACAGAATTTTAAATTATCAAACATATTCATCATATAGAAAAGCACAAGAAATAATATAGCTGAAGCCCATACCCACTATCCAGTTTTAACATTTTGCTGTTTCTTTCAGATCTCCTTTCTTTAAAAGAGGTAAAATTTTACATATACAGTCCTATCTCCTCATGCCCATAATCCTTTTCTCCTTGCTCTTTCACGATAGGTAGCCATTATCTTAAAGTTGGTCTGAATCAGTTCCTTTCATGCTTTTATTCTTTTACTACATATGCATTTACCCATAAACAATTTTATATACTATTGTCATTTAAAAATCTTTATGAATATGGAATAATTCTGTTCATACCTTTTTTCAACTTGCTGTTTATAAACTCAATATTACATTTCAAATATTTACCCATATTGATCCATATAGCTGTAGTTCATTCGTGTTACATGCTGCATAATATTCCATTCCATATGCCACTGAAAGCAGGTTTTTATTTATTTTGCTATTGCAAGCATTTCTGTACTGAACATATGTAAACTTATCTCCTAGTATACATGTCAAAGAGTTCTTTCAAAGTAGATACCTAGAGGAGAAATTCTTAGTTTATAATGTACAAGGATTTTTCAAGTTTGAATAAGTATTATAAAATTTCTCTCCAAATACGTTGAAGCAGTTAGCAACTCCAAATGCAGTGTATATGAGTGTTTCTATCTTCCTATATACCCCTGAAGTGTTAAGTGCTATTAGATATTAATTTTTGCCAGAATTACGGTTTTGATAAGATAGCTCATTATCACTTTAACTTTCATATTATGTATGATTACTAGTGAAGTTAGATATCTCATCTGTATCCTGTTTATACTACTTTCCTATTTTTCTATTGAGTTGTTTCTTATTCTAATTGATGTATAAGTCCTTTATACACATATATTCTAGTCACTAATCCTTTGTTAGTTATATGAGTTATAAATATGACTAAATATATGGTTTGTATTTTAACTGTAATGATATTTTTATCATATAAAATTTCCCTACTGGGTATCATGACTTATTTTAAATCTACAATAATAACCTGAAGTTATTGTAGACACAGGCAAACGGAGAAATACAAAAACAGAGTAGACTCAAAACACACACTCATATATATTATATATATATAATACATATAATATATATATAATATATATATAAATTAGTATATGATAGAGGTATCACTACAAATCAGTGAGGCAAGAATACATTGTCGAATGAATAGTGCTGGGACACTGGGCTGTTTGTATTTGTAAAATGTTGTTACCATTCTCCATATGTGAAAATCAATACCAGATAGATTAAATACTTTAACATAAAAATTAAAATTTAAAGCATATTAGAAGAAAATATGAGATATCTATATGATAAAAGTACAGAGAGAGGTTTCTTAAACATGTATAAATAAAACCTCATTAAAATTCAAAACTCCGGCAGAGCTGTTTTTTTACATATATAATATATACTATACTGAGATAGTCTAACAGTATTAACCAAGCTGTATACTAAAAGAGAAAAAAATCACCTTTTCAGAATTCATGGAAAGTCATGCAGTTTTTTTTCTTTTTAAAAATTATATGCTATTTATTAAGCTATTACAGTTGTTCTGCTTTCCCCCCTTTGCCACAGTCCACCCTGCACACCCCCACTCCCTCAGGCAATCCCCACACCACTGTTCATGTCCATGGGTCATGCATATAAGTTCTTTGCCTTCTCCATTTCCTATAGCCATCCCCATGGCTATTCTGTAACTACCTATTTGTACTTCTTAATCCCCTCAACTCCTCACCTATTCCCCCAAACCCACTTCCCATAAGGCAGCCATCGAAATGCTTTACATACCCATGATTCTGTTTGTTCTTCTGGTTTGCTTTTTAGATTCAAGTGTTAATAGATATGTATTTATTGCCATTTTGTTGTTCATAGTTTTGATCATCTTCTTTTTATTAAATGAGTCCCTTTAACATTTCATATAATACTGGTTTGGTGATGATGAACTCCTTTAGTTTTTTCATGTCTGGGAAGCTCCTTATCTGTCCTTCGATTCTGAATGATAGCTTTGCTGGATAGAACAATCTTGGCTCTGGGTCTTTGCTTTTCAGACTTTTTAAAAATTTTTATTTTTATTTATTTATTTATTATTGATTATGCCATTACTGTTGTTCTATTCCCCCCTTCATTCCCCTCCACCCTACCCCCCATCCCCACCATTACCCCCCCTTTAGTTTATGACCATGTGTCTCAAGTTCTTTAGATTCTATATTTCCCATACTATTATTGCCCCCCATCAATCTTCTATCTACTATCCATGCTACTTATTTTCTGTACCTTCTCCCCATTCTCCTCCTCCCACTACCCTACTGCTAACCCTCTTCATTTCTATGTTTCTGTTCCTGATCTAGCTGTCCTTTTAGTTTGCTTTTGTTTTAAGTGTGCTTGTTAATAACTGTGAGTTTGCTGTCCTTTCACTGTTCATGTTTTTTTAACTTCATTTTCTTAGATAAGTCCCTTTAACATTTCATATAATAAGGGCTTGGTGATGATGAACTCCTTGAATTTGATCTTATCTGAGAAGCACTTCATCTGTCCTTCCATTCTAAATGAAAGTTTTGCTGGATAGAGCAATCTTGGTTGTAGGTCTTTGGATTTCATGACTTGGAATACCTCTTTCCAGCCCCTTCTTGCCTGCAAGGTCTCTTTTGAGAAATCTGCTGACAGTCTGATGGGAACTCCTTTGTAGGTGATTGTCCCCTTATCTCTTGCTGCTTCTAGGATTCTCTCCTTCATTTTAATCTTGGCTAATGTAATGATGATGTGCCTTGGTGTGTTTCTTCTTGGGTCCAACTTCTTTGGGACTCTCTGAGCTTCCTGGATTTCCTGGAAGTCTATTGTCTTTGCCAGATTAGGAAAATTCTCCTTTATTATTTGTTCAAATAAGTTTTCCACTGGTGGCTGTTCCTTTCCCCCTTCTGGTACCCCTATAATTCGGATGTTGGAGCCTTTAAAGATGTCCTGGAGGTTCATAAGACTCTCCTCATTTCTTTGAATTCTTGCTTCTTGACTCTTTTCTGTTTGGCCATTATTTGCTTTCTTCTGGTCCACTCCATTGATTTGAGTCCCAGTTTCCTTTTCATCACTATTGGTTTCCTGTGCAATTCCATTCATTTCATGTAGTTTTGCCTTCATATGTTTGTCTAATTTGTGGCTATAATCAACCAGTTCTGTGAGGATCCTGATCACCAGTGATTTAAACTGTGCGTCTGAGAGTTTTGCTATTTCTTCATCTCTTAGATTTATAGGCTCTGGGGCTTTGAGATCTTCTTGAGCCATTTTTGGTCTGTTCACACCCGTTAAGTATGAGGAGCAGAGCCTTGGACTCTCAGGTTGCTGGGTTGTGACGCTATATGTGGGGGCGTGGTCAGAATGGGGAAATGGTGACCTCTTCTGCTGTTTTTCGCCTCTGGGTGAGGAGTAGAGTCTTAGGTGGTTCACCAGGGCCAGGCCACTCAGGTCGCTGGGTTATGACGCTGTATGTGGAGGCGGGGTCAGAGTGGGGAAATGGCGGTGCCCTGTGCTGCTGCGCCGTGGGGCCTGCTCAGTCCCATAGTCTCACCGCCCACTCCCTTGCTTGTCTATCTGCTCAGGAAAGCGCAACCACAGTCAACCCGCAACTCTGCTCCCTCGCTGTTTCCCTGCGGTCACTCAATGAGTCGCTTACTAGGTCCAACCCTGCGCCTGGGTTCCGCGCGCCCGAGTCCGTCTGACCGAGTTTTTCTGTGCAACCCCGCTCTGACAGGTGCTGGTTTCGCCCCTCTTACCGGTCAGGCTGAAGAATTTGTTGTTATCAGACTTCCAAAAAGTTCAATTTTCTGTGTTCTGGCTGTGTTTCCTGTTGCTAATATTTAGTTGTCTCTAAACTTGGTTATGAGAGAAGGCACAGCGTTTCCACCTATGCCTCCATCTTGGCGGAAGTAGTCATGCAGTTTTGATTTGATAACTTAACAAGCTTAAACACTAAACTAGAGGTGGCATTGAAATTTAAATTAAAAATATGCTACATTACACAATAGAGTGCTTTACAGCCAGTAAAATGTTATAAAAGAAGAAGAAGATGTAATGCTAGGACAAAGTGTCCAAAATATGCTCTTAAATGAAAAACATGTACAAAACAACATATACAATTTTCTTTTACAAAAATGTGTGTGTGTGTTTTCAGAAAGCATACTGGAATCATATAAGCAAAAGAGAAGTTAAACAAGACAAATGATACAATTATGATTGATTTTTACTTTCTTATATTTTGTGCATTTTGTCAGCTGAATAGTATTGCATAAGCCCATAAAAAGTTATTTTTAAAATTTAAATTCAAATGATTCCAACTACAATTATTATAGAACCTCTGGATTGCATGTCACTCTTTACTAACTCTAAATCTTAGAGCTATGGAATCTGAGGATGAGCTAGACAAACTCACATATTTGATTTCATTTAATTTTCACAAGTATAGTAAGAAAGATTTTACTGCCCCCATTTTACAGGTTCAAGAAACATACTCAGAGAGGTAAAGTGACTTGCTCAGGGTTCCACAACAATGGTGTAGTTAAGTCTTGATCCTAAATCCTTTCAATCTACAGCCAACAGAGTTTACCTATCTGTAATTATACTAATTGAATCCCAATGAAGATAATTAAATATAGTTGCTAATAAGATTTGCAATTAGCAAAATGAGTGTTTTAAAAACTATAGCTGGCATTCTATTTCTTTTAAGAATATGTAGCTAGTACTTTACCCAGATACTAGATATGAAAAAAATCCAATAGCTTATCATATGATGTAGAGATGGGATGCAACAGCAAATGAAAAAAAAACACTGGATATGAAATCACACGAAATAATTTTTAAGTTTAGTCATGACAATGCTAGCTATGGAGAATCACTATCTCTCTGGGTCTCAGCTCTTTAATCAGTAACCCAAAAGAGGGGGATTTGGCTTAGTATTGGGGGGGGGAAATGAAGACAACTGTAATTGAACAATAAAAAAATAAATAAAATAACCCCAAAGAGTAAGAACATTAAACTTCTACCTTTACAATTCTATGTTTCTGTACCAAAAACACGTGGCTAAGTCAAGTGCAAGACTGGTTCATTTTGTTTTTATAGCCTTCATTTACTGTAAAGGAAGACTGGAGTTCTATAATGGCTCTTAATTCACATTAACAGTTTTTCTTACATTTACTACAAAGACATGAAGGATATAGTAGTGGCTTGATGAATACAAAGAGATATAAAATGATGTGAAGAAAATAAGACAATCTTTGTAGTAAATAAGACTGAGTTTAAAATCTAATTCCCCATACTTAAGCTAGTAAGTTACTGTCCCTCTCTGAGCCAGTCTCCTTATCCATCAAAGGGAAATAATATCACCTGCTTCACAGAATCCAAAAAGATAACATAGGAAGTTTACCTGCTACATTTAAAAACCTGCTTTAGACTCTGTTCCCATTCTTTTTAACCTACCTCATAATGTGATATCCTTTGTGATTCAAACTGCAGCACTAGTCCGCACACATTACAAAAGTCATCTGTAAAGAGTTCAGGCTTTTCTTGTTCATTCCAAGCTGTATCTACGAATAAAATAAAGGAAGGTGAGACTATATATCCCATTAATGAATATTTAGAGGTATCATTTTCATTCTTCAACTATATATTATTTCATATACCAACTCAAATCTGATGGGGCTATGTGCTTGTGGGGCTATAATAGCTTTTTGCTTATCAAGTATGCAATTTAATATGGGCATCTTAAGTCTTCCTATAATATCTGATATGGCAAGAGTTATTTATTTAGTATTATAAATCTAGGCAATACTATTCCAACGGGAAGGTTATGGGGGTACCAGTGACTTCATGAGCTTCATGGAATGATCTGGGGCACCAATAATGATAGGCAGGACTAAAACATCCAGGCTTGGAATTTTGTGTTTTAAAGCAGACAGTCCAAAGAAAGGCATTGTTTTAAGACTGCCACTTATCTGAAACTATTGCTCCAATATTATCTAAAAATCACCTGGGACCAACAAACTTTGCCCATGGTGGGCAAACATCCTCCATTGTTGTATAAACACTAGCAAACTTATTTGGTCAAATGAGACTCACACAGCCTCTCAAAGCTATAAAATAATGTTCATATACTAACATCTAGAAGTTATGATATAGTGTTTCTCACTGTAATAAATAACACATACCAAAACTTTCTACATTTACACTTGAAGTCCATACTTCTATCTAAAGTTCTTGACAGCTATAATGTATTCCACCAAAAATTATTCACTTATCTATTGGGTATAAACCACAAAACATCAAAAATTTGCTTGTTATTTGGTTATTTAAATGACAAGGCTTATACCACATAAAAATTTATGGAAAAATGCCAATGATATATTACATAGATAAAAAGTTACAGAACAATAAATATGATACATTCAATTCCCAATGTTAAAATATTAAATACACACTACATATAAAAATACAAAAAAAATGATGGCTGGGGTGGGGAGAATGGTGGGGGTAAATGGAGACAAATGTACTTCAACAACAATAAAAAATAAAATAGGTTAATTTTGAAAAATGGGGCTAGAAAAGGAATGAAGGTAGAAAATTTAACATGGTATTTTCTGTTCAACTGTCTTAATTTTTGCACAAAGCATGTAGGACTCTCTATTTTTAAAACTTTAAAATATTTTATTCATTTATTTTTATTTATTATTTATTTTTTAAACTTTTTATTTTATTGATTATGCCATTACAGTTGTTCTATTCCCCCCTCATTCCCCCCCACCCACGCCATTCCCCCCCTTTAGTTTATAGCTGAGCAGTTCGTTGTTTTCAGACTCCGTATTGTTCGATTTTCTGTGGTTTGGTTGTGTTTATTGTTGTTAAAACTTTGTTGTTTTGAGGATGCTGGGAAGATGGCGATGGAGTAAGATGGAGCTGATACTAGCTCCTGTACTCATGGGTGAAAATCCTGGCAGATCTATAGAGAAACAGCAAAATAAACCATCGGTTACCCAGCATTTATGAAATTAAAAGACCAGAGATTGTGACCGACGCTGAAACACCAGACGGTGGCAGTGTCAGCTACTGGAGCTGGGTCTCACGCGGCTGCGGTGCTGCCGCCAGAGCAACAGGCCTGGGAGCCGGGGAGTCAGGTAAGGGAGCTGGACACTTCAAGCCCCTGTGACGGTCCTGGGAGACAGAGGAGTCAGGAACCAGAGCAGGGACACCCTTCTGCCAATGCCATAGCTACCGGCCTGGGCAACGGAAGGGTCAGTTGCAGGAGCTGGGACACCAAAGGCCCCTGTGACGCCGCCATAGAGACAGGCCTGGGCCCTGAGGAGCCAGCTACGGGAGCCTGGATGTTCACAGATCCTGTGCCGCTGCCATAGCGACGGAACTGGATGCCGGGGAGTCAGGTACGGAAGCCGGGACTCTCCAAACCCCTGTGACGCAGCAGAGGAGCCAGCTACGGGAGCCGGGAAGTTCTCAAATCCTGTACTGCTGCCATAGTGATGGGACAGGACGCCAGGGAGTCAGGTACGGAAGCCAGGACACTCCAAACCCCTGAGACAGCCCTGGGTGGCAGAGGAGCCCTCTACAGGAACTGGGACGTTCTCAGCCCCTGTGCTGCTGCCATAGCGACGGGACTGGACACTGGGGAATCAGGTACGGGAGTTGGGACTTTCTAAGCCTCTGTGCCACTGCCATAGAGACAGGACTAGACGCCGGGGAGTCAGGTACGGAAACCGGGACACTCCAAACCCCTGTGACGGTCCTGGGCGGCAGAGAGAGCCAGATACGGGAGCCGGGACATTCCCAGCCTCTGTGCCACTGCCGTAGTAACGGGCCTGGGTGCTTGAGGAGGTGGCTACTAGAGCCGGGACATTCAGCAGTGGTAGGTGACCAACACAGGGACCAGCTCGAGGACCACCGTGAGTGTAGGTGGAGACGAAGAACATCAAGAAACTTCCAGGAGTCTGCACCACTGAACTTCACAAGGATCATACCACAGAAGTTTACACCATGAAACCAGTGTTTCAGAACAGATCAATTTTGGAAGCAGAGACTAACAAGAAGAGTCTCAAACAATGGGAAGACAAAGAAACAATCCCCAGCCCTGGCTGGCGTAGCTCAGTGGATTGAGCGCGGGCCTACGAACCAGAGTATCGCGGTTCAATTCCCAGTCAGGGCACATGCCTGGGTTGCAGGCCAGTTCCCAGCAGGGGATGCATGAGAGGCAACCATACATTGATATTCTCTCCCTCTCTTTCTCCTTCCCTTCCCCTCTCTCGAAAAATAAATAAATAAAATATTTTTAAAAAAAGAAACAATCCCCAAATGAAAGATAAAGCAGAAACTTCAGAAAGAATGTTAGATGAAATAGACGCTGATCAACTATCAGATAGTGAATTCAAAGCACTGGTTATTATGAACTTCAAAGAGCTCACAGTGAACTACCAGAAACTACAGGGGAACTATAATGATCTCTCTGCAAACTACAGCAACATCAAAAAGGAAATGGAAGCTATCAGCAAGAGACAAGAGGAAATGAAGAACACAATTTCTGAATTGAAGTACACAGTAGAAAGTTTCCAAAGTAGGATAGCTGAAGCAGAGGATAGGATTAGTGAGTTGGAGGACAAGGTAGAAAGCATCTCACAGAAAGAGCAAGAAAATGAAAAGAGGCTCAGAAAGAATGAAGAGGGATTAAGAGAAATGCAAGATAATATGAAATGTAATAATATCCGAATAATAGGAATACCAGAAGGAGAAGAAGAACAAGGGATAGAAAACGTATTTGAACGAGTAATGAGAGAAAATTGTCCTAATTTGATAAGAGAAAAAGTCTCACAAATCCAGGAATCACAGAGAGTCCCAACCAAGAGGAACCCAAGGAGGCCCACTTCAAGACACATCATCATCAAAATGGCAAAATTCCAAGACAAAGAGAGAATCTTAAAGGCAGCAAGGGAGAAAAAAGAAATAACACACAAGGGAGCCCCAATAAGGTTAGCTACTGACTTCTCAATGGAAACACTTCAAGCAAGAAGAGAATGGCAAGAAATATTTCAAGTAATGAGAACCAGAGGCCTACAACCAAGGCTACTTTACCCAGCAAGGCTCTCAATCAAGATAGAAGGCCAAATAAAGAGCTTCCAAGACAAAAGAAGTCTAAAAGAATATGCCTCCACCAAACCAGCTCTACAAAAAATACTAAAAGGACTGCTTTAAAGGAAGGAAGGATAAGAGGGAGACAGAGAGGAACACAGGTACAAAAATGGCAATGAATAAGTACCTATCAATAATAACCTTAAACGTAAATGGATTAAATTCTCCAATCAAAAGACACAGAATAGCTCAATGGATAAGAAAGCATGACCCACACATATGCTGCCTACAAGAGACCCACCTTAGGACAAAAGACCATCACAGACTAAAAGTGAAAGGCTGGAAAGAAGTTTTCCAAGCAAACGGACAAGAAAAAAAAAGCTGGGGTAGCAATTCTCATATCAGACAAAATAGACTTCAAAAAAAAGGCTATAAAGAGAGACCCAGAAGGTCACTTCATTATACTCAAGGGAAGAATCCACCAAGAAGACATTAACATTGTAAACATATATGCACCAAACATAGGGGCACCCAAATATATCAAGAAAATCTTAGAGGACTTCAAGAAAGATATTGACAGCAACACACTTATAGTAGGGGATTTGAACACCCCACTATCAAAAATGGACAGATCTTGCAAACAAATTATCAACAAAGATATTGTGGCATTAAACAACACCCTAGATGAAATGGACTTAACTGATATATATAGAGCCCTTCATCCCAAAGAAGCAAAATACACATTCTTTTCAAATGCACATGGAACATTTTCAAAGATAGACCACATGATAGGACACAAAACGAGCCTCAAAAAATTCAAGAAAATTGAAATCATACCAAGCATCTTCTCTGACCACAGGGGACTGAAATTGGAAACCAACCCCAAAGAAAAAAACCCAAAGCACCCAAAATCATGGAGACTGAATGGTATGCTATTAAACAACGAATGGGTCAAGAATGAAATTAGGGAAGAAATCAAAACATTTTTGGAAACAAATGAAAATGATCTCACAACAACCCAAAACTTATGGGACACAGCGAAGGCAGTCCTGAGAGGGAAGTTTATAGCAATACAGGCCTACCTAAAGAAAATAGAAACATTTCAAACAAACAACCTAACCCTACTCCTGCAGGAACTCGAGGAACAACAACAAAGACAGCCCAGAGCAAGCAGAAGGAAGGAAATAACCAAGATTAGAGCAGAATTAAATGACATAGAAACTAAAAGCACAATTTTAAGGATCAATGAATCCAGGAGTTGGTTCTTTGAGAAGATAAACAAAATAGACAAGCCTTTAAGTAGGCTCATCAAGAAAAGAAGAGAGAGGACACAAATAAACACAATCAGAAATGAAAAAGGAGAGATTACAACTGATACCACAGAAATAGAAGGGATTGTAAGAAATTACTATGAAGAACTGTATGCCAAGAAATTTGATAACCTAGGGGAAGTGGACAC